GCCCACAAAAACAACAACCCTGCAGTTGATTTTGTTTCTTGTAAATAAATTAATCATTTCCATGGCAGCAAGATATGCAGTAGGGCAGGATTAGCACAGTCAGGGTGGCCACTGAAGCACATTATACTAGACCCAGCTAAATCTTCCTATATTAATAAAGTATAGCTTCCCGTGTCTGACCTGAGAAGAAAGAGACTCTTCGAAGCTGCTGCGCAGGCCTTTTCCTTTCTAGGCTAGGGCAGAAGCTTTTGGCACACAGAATAGCTGCCAGGCCAGCTAGTCAGGAAGAACAACTAAATGGAATGCTCCAAGGTATGCTGTTGTGTTACGGTGATGATGTTCTCAAGCAGATGAGAGATTGTGCTGGCAGGGAGAAGTTTTCTTTAGAGGCAAATACAGCCAAATAGAAAATCGAGCATGCTCCAGATCTGCTGGAGACAGCGGCCTGGGGAAAAAGAAGTTGAAGGGGGTAAGTTTGTTTAATAACAGCTGATGAACTCTGGTGTCAGAACCTGCATTGTAAAGGAGATTGTACGTGGAGGAGGTTGCTGAGAGAAGAAATTGGATGTAAAGGTTGTTACTGTCTTGGAAGTGAAAAGGTTGTAAGGTTGAGGATGCTTTTCTAACAGTATGTGTTTGACATTGGTTTATTTTATTTTTAACCTTTTTTATCAACAGAGTTGTTTAATTTCCAGCCCAAGGAAGTTCTGCTGCATTTAGTTAGTGAGAAAGAATAATGTTTTGTTTCAGTGAATTAATTTGTTGATAAATATTACAGGACAGTACACAACCCTTCAAGTAGTGTGAGTGCAATAACTTATTTCCTTTGTTTTCAAAGTGTGATATGCTTGAATGTTAGTGTTATTTGTAGGTCGTAGGTGGTATTTTGAGTACAGATTGATGTAGGAAGCTCATGGTAAACTTTACAGTAAGAGTCTTGTTTCTGTCTTCTGTTAAGCAAATAAAGGTCTAGCAGATATGACATCTGTACCTGTAGGATTATTGTCAGCAACTTGCAATTGGTATTCCCAGTTTAATGTAGCTTAAAAAATTAACTGCAAAAAAAATTGATTACGTTTATTTCTCATTTAAGAAATTAACATCAGTTCTTTTTAAACTATATGGATAAGCTTTCTTTAACAAATTGTTACCTTTTTCCTTCCTTTGGGGAATGTAGATTGGACAAATTATTACTATTCTTTTTTAAAAATCTCTTCTGTGGGATTTATTAGCCATTCTGTTAGAAGTGCAGTCAGGGTTTTGGCCAGTAGCTAGTGTAGGAAATTGGTAGTTATGATTCCAGATTTGTTTTTCATCTTTGCACTTTATTTTTCCCAAAAGGTCAGATAAACCGTCTTCTTTTGCTCATCAAATTGTAATAATAACTTTTGCTCATTTCTGGGAATACTTCAGAGATCAAAATATTACTCCTCATTAAAATACATTTGAGCTGCTAGTTAGCATCCAGATACCCCTAGAATATGAGATATGCAGTGTTTATGAATGATTCAGCAAGGATACATTAAAGCTATGGATTTAAAAGAAATTACAAGAAGAGATGATGAAGTGTACCATAGCTACATGAAAATAGATATAGGCTTGACTCCTTTTTAAGAAATTGCAGAAACTGTGAAACCTGATGTTTACAAATATGCTTTCACACAGTGTGGGAGTCTTGCCAAAACAAGCTGTCTTGCCTTCTACTTACACATAGGCTTATTAAGGCAACTTAAGTCATTGTCCAGCTTTCCCCAAGAAGGGATGAAAAAACTGAGTTGAGCGAGCTCTCCATTTATGATTTCTCCAGTGTAGTAAGTAACGTTTTCTAATGTTTATCTGTATAGAAGCCAATGTATAAGCACACAAAAATGTTTCTGGAGTGCCTTCTGATCATCAGTTTTGTGCAACTAGTGTGAGAGGCTGTTTTAGCTCAAGAAGTTACTTCTCTGAAATATTGTCTGGCCTCTTGAACTAAACCTGAACTGTGGCTTTTCTAAGGAACTGATTTCCATTCTTCCAGTCTAATGCTGAGTAGAATGAAAAAAATACTGCAGAATAGAAGAACCTCACTTCTCACGTATTATCATCTGGTAACAGAAGTTCAGAGATTTGCCAATAAAGTCTGGTTTTGCTGGTTTAATTTAAAAGAAAAATCCCCAATGTTCACTGCTTACACAGGAATTTAAACTTTTGGTCATGTATTGAAATGGAATGAATTTTCCACAGTAGTCTCACCCCCAAATTTCTGAACTAAATAGGGAGGGCAAAAGTGAAGAAGGAACAAGATGCTGATACTAGCATAAGCTAATTGTTCACACCTTCATCACCTCAACTGTGCTATGTCTGCCTTTCTGTGGTGTACTTAGACTTTTCTTCTTTTTTTCCAGTCCATCTTCTTGGACTCATCCCTGATGTATCTCTCTAAAGATAGTAATGAAAGTATTTTTGTGTCCTGTACTTGATGGTAGATTAAAATATCCCTTCTAAGGACTCAAAGTCAGAGATATTTCTGTTTCCTAGCTTTTCAGTGCTGGCAAAAGGTATTTTTGTCCAGTCCAGTTTTAGAAAATCAGACTAAAAGCTGGAAATAATCATTCTTTGTTTTTCTGATCAACACCATATTGATGTGCACTAGAGTAGGAGGAAGAAATTGGCATAGCCAGTCAACCTTGTCAGCCAGCAGATCTTATGTGCTGTCTGTGATCAGGAAAAATATTGACAGAGGCAGTCTACTAACATACATTGGAAGGTACTTTTAAGTCGTGTACTTCTAAGGATGTGAAGTGCCATGAAATAGCACCAGATTACTGCCAAGACTGCTTGAGACAAAGAAATTCAGTGAACTGTCTGCTGAAACTCTACTGTTCCTATCCTCATTTCCATAACTTGCTATCCAGATAAAATGCCCGTTGTCTGGAAAGTGGAGAAAGAACTTTGCTACTGGGTGAATTCCCATCATGATCTCCTGCTGCAGGCGGGTGTGACTTTCAGTATAGTTTTTATCTCCATTTTCTTTCTCTGCTATATGAACATTGCTAACTTAAAATTGTTTTTTACAGTAGGCAACGTTAACCGGAGGCATTACCCCTTTCAGGGACATAGTAAATGGGAAAATGAATAAATGAAGTGACGTGTATGAATTTAATGAATTCTTTTTATCCACAGTAACCATTAGAGGATGTCATTCTAAAAAAGTTGGCAACAGGAAGTACTGCATACTCCTTAAGTGATACACACTGGGATAAAGCTATAAAATATGATATGGCAGTAGGTGAAATATGAGTGTAAACAATGAAAATCAATTGCCTGGATGCTGTGAATGACTTTGAAGTGTGATTATAATAGCCAAAAGGACAGATAAAATTTTAAGGTTTTGTCTTTTCTGCTATGGACTAGCTCAGCTGTCTCCAAAGCTGGTGTAAGTCTTGCCTCGTCATGTTAAAGAGCAGGGCTTTCACACCCGTGTGTTCTGTCTGCAGCAGGGAATAGAGCCTGTGAGCAGAGGGTTTGTTTGCAGATTGGAGCGCTGAATTCATACTCTAATCAGTGGAAGGGCACTCATCTCTCTCATAGCCTTTGAAGGTATCTTGTTGCTTGACTTGTGTTCATGCAGAAAAGCTCCCCCAGTCTTTTGCCTCTTTTCTTTTTGCTGCCCTTCTCAAAGACCAGGCAGCTTCACTGTGATGTGAGCAACATGCCTTGCCTTTCTTCAAATTCTCCTAAAATGTTGTGTGCTGGAAACTTTTGGCTGAATCCTTTTAATGAGATGTTCTGGAAGAGAAGAGGAGGAGAATGAAATTGGAGAGGAGATAGGAAGAGGGAGAATATTGGTAGTAAAATATAAGAGGAGGTTTTTGTGTCAGTCTTTGCCAGTGCTTTCAAGAAGAGTGGTGAATGTTGAACAAGTCCAATTTTGGGAGCCCTGCATCTGAGAGACCTCTTTATTTTTCCTGTTGCAAAGGTAAAGCCTCAGAAAACCAGGTGCTGTGAGCTGTTTCTACAGATCGAGAATTATAATATTTTTGATGTCTTTTGAAAATACCACCTCTTGGCTCTTTAAATTAATTTGCCTTGCTGGGAGGGGAAAAAGGAGTGTGTGAGGTTAACATGCCTGAAATAGTTTTGTGAACTCAAAAAGAATGTTAAGAGATTCACACCCTCTGAGCTGTTCCAGCATCTGTAATATTCTGCTCAGTATGCTTGACTAAAACACACCTACTTTATGCAAGATGGGTTTCCCAGTGTGGTGGGTTGTAATCTAATGACGGCAAGCTCCTTTTTGAGGTTGCTGGTATCAAGTTTTGCTTGAGGTAGTCTAGCATTCCTGC